TTAAAAAATACATTATTAAAAAAAAGTAGAATTCTACATTATAAAAATGCACCGAAGTATATTTAAAAAATGAAACAATACCATCTAACACATACTGAAAAAGCCTTCCCCCCTTATCAAAAGAAAGCTTCCTCAAGGCTAATCGTTGTTTTGGGATGATGTTGCTCTCTTGAAGTATTATGCTCCCTGTAAACAGTGAGTGGGCCTCTCATATTTAAGGTCAACAGTATTTAAAAGCAGCTTTTCAATTTGGATTTTTATTTCTAGTCAAGGATTTTTAAAAAAGCTCCTAATCACAGAATCTTAGAGTCATTTAGGTTGGAAAAAACCCTCTGAGATCATCGAGTCCATCCATCCCTTACCCCAGCACTGCCCAGTCCACCACTAAGCCATCCCCCCCAGTGCCACACCTACATGTCTTGCAAATAGCTCCAGGGGTGGTGACTCAACCACTCCCCTGGGCAGCCTGTCCCAATGCTTGACAACCCTTCCATCCTAATATCCAATCTAAACCTGGCACAACTTGAGGCCATTTCTCTTCATCCAGTGTTTGAGATGAAGATAAAGAAGCATTTTGTCATAAAAAGTTATAACATTATATACTATTTCTTTTCCCTCATTTTGCTTAAAGGCAGAGTACTTAATTGCTAAAATGTACTTAATTCAAAAGTTTGTCTGCAATTGCTCAGTGTCATGAAGCCCCCCCCAAAGCCCAACAAAACTAAACACATTAATTTAGTTGGGCTGTGTAAGCAGAAGAAAGTTATGAGTTATTGTTTTTTTTTTTTTTTTTTGAGTTATTGATTTTTTTTGCCCTATATGAACTAAGTGGAGACTTCTACATAAAAGATCTGATCCCTGAGCACCGTTCAGATTTATCTGCAGCAATTTGAAAGTGTAATGGCTCCAGCTGCCAAAAATTGCTCTTAAAACAGATGCAGTGAAGCTGGCAGTGGGTCTGTTCCTCAGCTGCTGTACTTCACTCCCACACTAGCTATTAATGAACATTGAAAAGATACCCCCAAGAGTTCTCTCCCTTCAGCTCTCTCAGCCTCACCTCCTACATGACATGCTTGAGTCTCTTCACCATGTCTGTGGCCGGCCATAGGACCTGCTCCAGTATGTGCTCGTGTTCCTTGTACTTTAGAGAGTTTATTAGTACTTGCCATAAAATAGTATGGGGTTCATTCCCAATCTGGGGGTTTAAGTTCATTTTTAATCCATGTTTTGGGGTTTTAAGGTTTAGAGAAAATGTTTTTTTATCCCCTTATCTCAACATTTCCACTTTTTTGTGGGAGACAGAACCAGCATTAGACTTGTAACCCACACTAGGGAAGCTCAGGACAAAGGATTAAGACAGAGTTCATTCCCAATTCTCAGCTGTAGTTTAAATAACTTACATCTAATAAAAAAGGAAATTAAAACAATTGTCTTTGGAACCCTAAACTGGCAGTCTGCTGAACTTTACCTGCCTTGACTAATGCACATATCCCACTGCCTTTAACTACCAAGATCAGTCAGGAAGTATTTATTTTTCTGGAATGAAATACAGGAAGATCTGACAGGATTCAGCATGACAATACTGTCTCTACTGGCAAACTGGACTTGCTGGCTATTGGAGTATGCAGTTTAGATGAAAACATCTGAAATCCATTAAGCTGGATTTTTGCAATTAATATTATTTTATTTATTTTCTTTACAGTGTGATGTTAAAGAAAAAAGCAAAAAAAGAAGAAAATATTAAGAACAAATGTTACATTCTATTCAGATAACAGGAGGGGCCACAAATAAAACTCATACTCCCAGTCACTAGGTACGTAAAGAATTCCAAACTTCATTTCACTTCTGCTGTTGCCTGGTGGCAGATACCTTGATGGAAAGCTTAAAGATAAAGGCCAACCAGGGAATACTTAAAAGCAGGCAGGTAAAACTGGTGTGTGAAAATGTGTACTTAGCCAGTTTAAAGGCTTAAATTAATTGTATTTTCCTTACAAGAGAGAAGACAATAGTTTAGGAAACTACAGGTGACTCAGAAGCTCAAGCAGTAGATGCAAGGAATCCAAAACATGCCTAAGAAATGCTGGCAGCAGCATACTCTAAAGATTAAAATTTCAAGATTACACAGCATGTGTATAACCACACAAGCTCACTGTAGTTTTGTAGAGGCTGAATGTGTCAGCATTACAGTTTTAAACATTTCTGAGGAAGAAGCTGCAGATGTTTGCAGCTCAAATTAGATATCAGCATCTCTTCCTACTAATATATATATATGTATGTATGTGTGTAACTAACATAACTTATGTATGTATGTACATAACTAAGGGAAATGAGGAAAGATAGGAAAAAAAGGAGCTTAGTCCTCTTTTAGGACTTGGAAATTCAAACAGGAAAGCAGCTATGAAATATTCTAGTCTTGACACACACTCTATAGATAAAAGTAACTGTGAGAAAACTATGTAGGAAGGGAATGGAACAAGCACTGAAACAGAAAGCGTTGTGGAGCGTCTAATTTTTTTGGCCAAAACCATGGGAAATTTGACACCAACACACCAAAGTATGGCATTCCCAAATCAGGCCCCAGGCAAGTTAAAATTTTATTTAATAACAAATCCAGTTAGTATAATATTTTATATTAAATACTACAATCATATTTAGCATGCTTGTCAGGAGCATTGCACATCACTTCAGAAAAGCATTTTCTAGAAAAACTGTGGTTTGAGTTTGTTTGTACTTTTTTTTGGGTGTAAACAGGATCAGAGAGGTGTACATATAAAAAATTCTGTCCCAAACATGGCGTAGTATGAAGAATAAGGTGCAATTTTTATTTCCCAGACAAAACACCCATCATACTTTTTGGAGTTTCTTTAGTGCCAGATTTCAAAATGCAGAAATTTTTACCCATTTAAAGATTCATTCCCTTTCGCTCTGTAGAATAAATGACAGCTTTGCATATGACAGAAGATGTGAAGCTTTAAAATGTATGCATACTTATATATTTGTTTTCGATATCTTTGTGTATCTGCAAGTTATGCTCACATCCCTAAGATGATCCTTCCTTTGGAAATCTCTGCTGCTGCCATGTTGGCTGTGATACCGTGTTAACAAAACTCAAACACTTGTCTGTGTGTTAAACAGCCGGTACAAGACCCCCCAGTCTTTAGAAGCGTGTCTAATCCCCATTAACACAAGCAGTCTCCTTAAAAATGCAGAGCTGAAGACTCCTTGAATGAAGAGTTCGGAGGAGCAGACCCTCCTCCTCCTTTATTAACAGATAGTCGGGTTAATATCAAATAGATTCTTTGAAAGGTCAAACAAAAAAGCCTCCTCGCGTCCGAGATGGGATGGGATTTAAAGCTCAGGTCACCCAGTGAGGAAGAACAGAGAGGGCACCACTTCTCGTGCTACACAACAGGCAGGAGCAGGACCCGCAGTTGTACGTGGAGGTGACACCGCCCACCCCGGGGCTCGGCGGGGGGCTTTTGGCACTGCCGCCCCTTCGGTGGGAGCGGGTGTGACACCGGCTCTGGGAAACCGAAACAACCGGCGCACCCCTCTCTCACAGGCATTTAACCTGAGGGAAGAGGGCGAGTTTTCCTTCTCTCCTACTGCACCCCTTTCACCTCATCTCGTCAGGTCTGGGCGGCATCTCGCTTGACCCATATCCGCGTCCCCTGCGCTCTTCAGGGAGCAGCGCCCGGAGGAAGAGGAGGAGAAGGACGCCCGCCCGGCCACGCTGGAGGTTTGGGTGGGGAAGCGGCTCCAGGAGCCGGAGCTGGACAAGCTCCTCTCCCCCCGACCCCAGCACAGGCGCTCCCTGTCCCCCCCTTGGTTTTCCTCGGGGTTAGAGCTGCGAACGCAGCTGGGGACCCGCTGTTCGCGTATGGTTTATTTTTAAATAAATAAATAAACAAACAAATAAATAAATAAATAAAAGAAGAAATAAAAAAAAGAACGAAAAATACCCCACTCCAAACCCACCCCTCTCTGAAAAAAAAAAAAAAAAAGCTTCAGGAGCGGCAGACTTCAAGCAGTTACAGAACTCGGCCCTCATGAGGGGCACATCTGGAGTGCTGTGTCCAGTTCTGGGCTCCTCAGAACAAGAAAGAGAAGGAGCTACTGGAGAGGCTCCAGCAGCGGCCACAGAGGTGATGAGGGGTCTGGAGCACCTCTTACGAGGAGGGGCAGTGGGAGCTGGGTCTTCTTTAGTCTAAAAAAGAGAAGGCTGAGAGAGGATCTCATTATTACACATAAGTATCTCAAAGGCGGGTGCCAAGAGGATGGTGCCAGACCCTTTTCAGTGGTGCCCACCGACAGGACGAGGAGCAATGGCCATCAAGTAAAACACAAGAAGTTCCACCTCGGCACGAGGGAGAACGTCTTTGCTTTGAGGGTGGCCGAGTACTGGAACAGGCTACCCCCCCTGAGAGGTCGTGGAGTCTCCCTCTCCGGAGACATTCCAAACCCACCTGGACGCGTTCCCGGCGTCACCTGCTCCAGGTGAGCCTGCCCTGGCAGTGGGGTTGGACTGGATAATCTGCGGGGGTCCCTTCCAACCCTAACGATTCTGTGATTCTGTGAACAGCGCAATAAAGTCCGCGGCACCGGCCGGGCGCATGCAGGTGCCGCCTCATCCCCGGGGGCGAGCAGCTTGCCCGCCGGGACGCTCCCGGAGGCGCAGAGCAGGAAAGGCCGGAGCGCTTCCTTTCCGTCCTACCCCCCCCCGCTTCACCTGTGGCACCTGCCCTCACCTGTCCCACCTGCGCTCGCGCAGCCTGCCGCTCCCGCCCCGCGCGCCGGCCCCGCCCGCGCCGGCCCGCGCAGGCGCTCCGGGGGCTCCGCGCTGTCATGGCGGCAGCGAGTGGCAGCGCCGGCAGGAAGGAGATGGGGCTGGTCGGCACCGCCGTGTGAGGTGGCTGCGGCGGCAGAGGCGGCGGCTGGAACTTCGGGCGCCTGTCGGCGGGCGGAGGGGCGGACGGCGCAGCTCGGCTCAGCTCAGCCGCGCAGCGGGCAGCGCGGCAGCGCAGCCGCCTCCCGGCCCCGGAGCGGCGCGTCGGGGCAGCCCCGCGCCCCCTGCGCAGCCCGCGGTGAGTGCGAACTTGGCTGGGGCGCTGCACCTGCGGCGGTACCGGGGCAGGAGCCGGGCGGGGGAGAGGGTGGGGGCGCGGCGGCAGGAGGAGCGGATTCCCTTTAAGAAAAAGACGATAATAATACTACTAACAACTGTAATACTAAAAAAAAAAAAAAAAAAAAAAAAAAAAAAAAAAAAAAAAAAAAGAGAGATTAAACCCATCGCGCCCCGGCTCGGAGCGCGGCGCGTCCCGGAGCACTTCCGCGGGGAGAGGCGTGAGCGCTCCCGGGGCGGCCCCGCGGGGAGCGGGGCTGGGGCCGGGACCCGCGGGCTGTGGGGCAGCTGCGCGGACTGAAACACCCCTCGCGTTGTCCTTCAGGGCTGTAAGTACCTGCCCGGGGGCAGAGCGCTGTGACAGACGCCTCCTGCTGAGGAGAGAGCCGGGATTCCGAGGGCGCGTCCTCCCTGCCTGACACCCTCCCCTGCCGGACGCCGCTTTCCCCAGGGAGCCGGGGCTGAAGGGAAGGAAGGAGTGGGCCCGCCGCTCACCTTCCCGGCTGCACAGGTCGCTCCTTTTTTCCGGAGCTGGCGCTGGAAGCCGTAACCTGCGGTGAACTGGCCATGGCGAGCGAGGACAAACAAGTTGTTCAGCCAACAGGTGATGATGGAGGAGGAGGAGCGGGAAAAGAAGGAAATGCTGCGGAAGGGGGAAGTGTGCTGCAGCCTTTGAATCCAGGAGTCCCCATCCGAGGTATCAAGATGAAATTTGCTGTGCTGACAGGACTGGTGGAAGTTGGTGAAGTGTCCAACAGAGATATAGTCGACACTGTTTTTAATCTGGTAAGTTGATTGCCTGAATGAGGGAAAAGAATAGCACGGGCATGCAAAGGAATCCCACAGTTTTTTGATGTTATCTTTCTGTTAGTAACTGTTTACGTGTTTACACTTTTGCCATACTGGATTTCAACTAAGTTGTTTTTACTTATCACAAAAGCTGAAAAAAAGAAAAAGGATGTGAGCTTCTAAACATGCATACTTAAACTTGAAACAACTCTAAACAGTATCCTCCTTAGTTAGCCTCACAGAAATTGTTGCTTTATTTAGAACTCGGAAGAGTATTGTTATGTTTAAACATTTAACAGGCGTGCTCAACAAGAAAGTTAAATGTTAATTTAGTAACTCAAACTGTCATCAAAACATACATATAGTTGTTTAAAGTCAAAACAAATTTTCCCACAAAGGTATTTATGCCCCTCTTTGCTTCTCTATGCTTCTCATTTATTTTGGAAGTAGGCAGAACTTCCATGTACAGGGAATGAGGGTTTCAGGGAGCAGTTCATTCAAATTCGTTACATAGGCTGCTTGTTGGGAAGAGTAGACTGTGGTTTCAGTGTCCTTTTTTTATTAATGAATTTGGGAGTCAGTCAGCTGCTGTTTTTTGAATACCACGGGGATGTGTTTAATACTTCCTAGCAGACCTCACTAAAAATTGAGGATACAACTTTTCCTGCTGAAGCTGCAGACATAATATATGCTGAATTTCTTGGGTCAATTGCTTTAAGTTGCAGTTAAAGCAATTAGGTTAGTTAATAATGTTTCTTTGATGCAGGAGACCAGTCATTAGGAGAAAACCTGTCTTTTAAGTTTACAAAGATACTCTGCTATTATCAGAGGTCTTAATGCCTCTCTAAAAATACCTATCACCGCTCCTCCTTCCTTTAAGTGAGCAGCTTTGACTTTGAAACAATGTGGTTTCTGACAAACCAGGAAGTGAGAACGTGTAATAGCATAAAGCTCAGTAACAAGGAAAGTTGAGGCAAAAGTCATACTGGGTTTTTTAAATGCTGTTTGCATTTCAGTTATTTTATTAGTAGCATTCTTTGCTACATGCAAATTTTCATGGTTGCTAAATATTTGTGTGCTGTGTCTGTTTAATGTTTTTCGGTGTTATCTTCTTGGGTTACAGTGAATGTTTATTTTTTGAATATTTTTGTACAGAGTCATGCTCTGAATTGTTTGGATGGGAGTCTCAGTACAGAGGAATTGAAGTAGTGACAAAAATAAAGTGCATATCAGGGGTTTCATGGATGCTTCAAGTATGAGGAAGTGATTTAAGTTACTTGGAGTCCTCTTGGCTATTGTCCTGGACAAAAGCTAGTGCTCAGATATAAGAACATGAAGTTCAAAAGGAAATTCTGGTGAATAGTTTATGATTTAGGACACTTGTGTGAGGGGAAATTGTTCATGAACGTTACCTTGTTTCTAGTGTGGTCTTTTGAGTGGTATACTGGAGGTGTATTTTATGGCATCAGAGGAAAGAGGTTCAGCAGAATAATAAAAAATGTAAAAGCTCCTTTATTCCTGGGATTCCTGTTCTGTTCCATTTTGAACAAGAGAAGAGCAAAAAAATTAAGCTTGATTCAGAGAATCCTTAATTTTAGGTTTAAGAGGTCTGGAGAATTGACCTATGGAATGCATTTTCCTAGATCTTCATTTTCTAAATAGATAAGGGAGAGTTTCTGGCCCTGGAAGCTTTTGAAAGTGCGTTCTCACTTTTTCTCCAAGTGAAACAACATCCCTGACCTCTCTGAGAAGGTTCCTCAACCATTTCAGCACACCTGCCTGCAGTGTGGGAGGCTAAAGGTCAAGCTCGTGCCTCACGTTATTTTATCAGTTGATAGGTACCATGAAACAACCAATGGCTTGGTAGGTTTTTTTTTGGTAAAGACTGTTAAACTGACTTTGTAATGCAGCTTTTCAGGATATGAGGTCTCCCTACAAAGCAATACTCCTTTACCTGTCACTGAGTTCTTCCTCTCTTCAGCGGTTAGCTGTGACCATTTTGTCAGTTAATACCACTGAAGTCACACTGATCAGAATTTAAGGCATGTGAAGTATTGGTTAGCAGTGATGTACTTATTTTTCTCTCTGTGTGTACAGAAAATACGTAATTTCTATATGAAGAAATGATTCTCTAGCTATGGCTTTTCCTGTAGTTTGTTTCCCAATAGCTTTCAGAGCGGGTTTGCTTATGTATGTGCAGGTTCAACTGGAATAGTGCTGTGATCTGTTGTTACTAATGGGGTTAAGCCCAAGGTATCCTCTCCTGTTGGGTTTCATTGTTTGGTGACTCATAACTGCACTACCTCAGGTGTGTGAGCAGAAATCAGCTGCCCTGCTTCTTGTACTTTGAGAAGAGCAGAGATACAGTATTTGGGGGATTTTTTGATCACTAAAGTGACAAGTGAGGTGTCTTTACGCCACAGTGCAGGCAGGGGTGGACAAATCTTTGTTGAAAGGTTGTTTTACGTATTCTTTATAGCATAACCACCCTTAAATATGAAGGGTTTATTTTTTAAAAAGGGGTGTTAGCTGACCTAATTTTAATTCCTTGAGAAAGCATGTTGCTCTTAGTTATGCCCTTCAAGCTTGCTGTAGCACATGGAGGGAAGCACAAAGTGCTGTCTTGATGTTTGTCTTGAAGTATTTAAGAGATGGTCATTCTCTGTGTGTGAAAGACTCCGAAGGTCAGAAATCTAAAGTGCCCAGTAATTGACCTGCTGCTTATTGAAGAAATTTAAGCTTCTGTAGTCCTGATTGCCCAAGCAAATACCTTGTTTAGTTCAGCAGTGTTGGATCTTGGAGCTGGGAACCACCGACAACATTTTCTCTGTCCAGCAGTGTAACAGAGTGCTTAGGGAGCTCATTTCTAGCATGCATCAAAGTGGTCTCATTTTACTGTCTTTGGAAATTCTATTCTTAGAAATATTCAAATTGATCTGCTTTGTTTTGATCAGTATTTTTGATGAACATAGTTTTCCAGCCCATGTTAAATGTGGCTTTGTGTGTTTCAGCACCTCTTAAAATTGAAGAGGGAAATAAAGAATTTAAAGAGGATGAACTTTGAAAGCACATTCTTGTTCCAATATTAATCCGTTCTGTTACTTTTTTTTCACAGAATGAGTTGTATTATGGATGTATATTCTTCATGCATTGTGGACTTGTTTTTAATTGACTTTGGACAGCAGTAACTCCTCGAAATTCCTTTATATACAAATCAGGTGAATTTCTGTGCATGACCTCATATTTGCCCCTCCCCCCCTTTGTTTATTAAAATAAAATAAGCATACTGGTAGGAGAAGATAGAATGGAAAAATAAATTACTTACAGTTGGATCTGTTACTGACTTAAAATAACTGGTTTTCATAGGAAAACAGAAACACAAGTTGACTTGCTATTAAAGAAAAAAACTTCTAGATGGAGTAGTAGAAATAATTCAGCAATTAGCAAAAGTTAGATTTCTAGGATCTGAAGTTCTCAGGTGTAGAGTATGAATTCTGTTCTGAAGGCTACACAACCTGCATTGGAAATGAAGGAGGTCCTGCAAAGTCTTTTCGAGGTTGAAATTCTCAGTGGAACTTCTCAGCTACTCTGCTCTAAACGGGCTTATGTTGTATCATATGTCAGTGTTGTCTTGCCCAAGTTATTGCAAATTTCCTCTTTATATATAAAATTAAACCACTGGATATCCTTGTCTTTCAGTGGGTAAAGGGCTCTCACTGGCAGGTGTTTTGTGCATAATGAGTGCTGTATGTGGAGGCTTAACTGTCCTGCATTATTGGGCTTGCCGAGGGAAGGGGATGTTCTGGAAGAATTCTAATACACTTCAAGCAGATGACTGAGCAACTGTTGTCCTTCTCTGTGGTGTCGGTATAATTCAGTTTGGGGACTTCATGCCAGAATTTACTTGGGTCTCAAGTCGACTAGTGTATATTCTGCTCTGCTCTAAAGAAGTGCTGGGCCTTGATCTAAGCCGATTTTGTTTTATAAAGCTTTAGTGCTTCTAATTGTTTTATTGAGTATAGTATAGATAGTTATTTGATTTAGTTCAGTTTTTTTCCCCTCAGTCTGTGTTGCAAAGACCTTTTTTTTAAATGTTCTGCCTCTTTGGTGAGGAGAACGTGCTGTTGCTTTTGATTCTGCTCATGGATTATGAGGTCCTCACCGAGAGTTCCCTAGTGCAAGCGAAAGAAATATTAGTTTTTATCACCTTTGGAGGAAAAAACAATCAGATCTGAGGAGCACAGACTAAAATTACTTTGTAAATTTCATTTGTCACCTCTTTCACTTCTGCCAGACTTTACTAAAACCACAAACAAAAGTCAATGTAACTGTTAAAAATTCTTACAGTTTACTTTCCTGCTGATACAACAGGTTTCTACTTTGATATGGGTGCTTCTGGAACGCTAGTGCAATGGATTCTATGAAGTATAAACTCCCCTTTTCTCATCTCTGGTCATAGACTCATTTTGCATGTACCATCTTGTAGAAAACCCCCAAAGCTAATGCTGATAAGAATCAGATGTATTGCAATAGTAAAATTGCACCATAAATGTCTTTATAACAATGTATTTTTTTCATTACGTTACTGTATGTTTTTAGGGATTGCTAGACTTTATTTTCTGCATGAAGTTACCAGTGCTGATGACAAGTGAGAGTAACCAAGTAGTTTCTAGAGCACTGCTGAACATTGTGGATTTCTTAATATATGCAGACTTCCCTGGTAGGTGCACCTCTGGCTACAGTTATCCTAGTTCAGTCACTTCTGTCCACTCACAGTGTAGATGATAAGGTAAGTCTGTGGCTTTAGCTGGGTCAAGCTTGTAGTTTTGTTTTTCTTTCTTTTAAAAATCATAGTAAATCGAACAGTCAGCTGTCTTAGTGGTAGTGCATGGTTTTACTCTTGTTGAGTGAGTGGAATTCAGCAAAATATCTCTGCTGCTTCCAAATCTGTTTCAAAGGCCTTCAGGTGCAGACTTACTTCTTGCTGACCCCTTCAC